TAGGGATTTAGGAATCGGGGTTCAGGATTTAGGGTCTAGGGATTTACGAATCAGGGTTCAGGATTTAGGGTTTAGGGATGTAGGAATCAGGGTTAGGATTTAGGGTCTAGGGATCTAGGATTCAGGGTTTAGGCTACGGGTTATGGGTGCCGAGCTGTCGAAGAGATCCCGATTTCAGAAAGACCTTCATGCGGCGGTGTGCCCATTGGTGGTGGAGTGCCTCCACGTCATGCACACGCGGAGGCTGAAACCCATTAAGCAAAAAAAGAACCTTTGTGCGGTTGGGGCCTCTAGTTGCCCAAAAAGTCAAGCCCCTATACAGATGCCTTCTACGCATACGCCTTATAGACCCAAATCCAAGACTGATTGAGATCACGTCTTGATTTGTGGATGATCATAACTGCAAGTTGAAGTATGGTTCTTGTGGCGAAAACGAGTCACCATGTTGACTGTTTCCAGGCAAGCGCTTTAAAGCAGGGACCAGGGCACTCTGCTCTGCGTCGGTACTAGGGTTGCTAGGGAAATGCGCCCTAACACCTACTGGTTGTAGGTACGGAATGAAGGAATGCAAAAGAAGATGGAAAGTGTAAACTACAAAGGGATTATCCAGGGGTCTAGTCCAGGGGTATATTCATTCCTCCACTCCGCACTAACAACCAACAAGTACAATGCGCATCAGTGGCTGGATGTTTCTTTCATTTACTAGGTCTGTAGATGTGGAGAAGTACCAGCTGGAACTAGAAGTTGTGTAGTGAAACTATTTCGGGTGTTTCCATAGCAGGTCATCACGATCACGTACCAACTGCGGGCAGCCCAAGGTGACGGGTTCCTTTCTCACCTAGCCCCCACAATGTCTACAGATGCAGTTCTTAAGCAGCTGGTGGCTCAGCACACCTATTAGTAGCAATGTAAGGAGAGTTGCACGTCCATGTTGGGGCTTTTTTGAGACAGGGGTGTAGAGGTTTGCAGCCTCGCATGAAGAAGCTCTGATAGTCTGATAGTGTGTCAGGGGAATACTATCAGGTTTCTTTCGGATGCAAGCCCTCCATGATTCCTAAGAGGGACACATACCCAGAGGGTCCACATATACAACTATTAGGGAATTAGGCCCCCGAATACCATACTATAGAAGGAATTATGGGTCCCAATTCCCCAATGGTTGTATATGTGGACCCTCTGGGATATGTTTATAGTCCCAATGACATGAGAGGAATTTGATAAACCTAAACCCCTAGGCCCAAAAGCCGCACCCACCAAACCGGAAGACTTCCAAACCCTATAAACCCTATATAGTCCCCCTTAAGTAGATAGAATATAGGGCTTAGAGTTTAGGGACATAGTCCCCCTTAAGTAGATAGAATAAGGGGTATATGGGGATCTTATTATTCTACCTAAAGCCATATTCTATCTACTTAAGGGGGACTGTAACCCCCAGCCAAACCGTCAGCCTTGAATCTGATTAAAGCTCACAAAGCAAATAGACCTTCTGGGCTCCAGGCGCTGTCCGCGTGGAGAGCGTATCGGGCAGCATAGGGGTAGGGGAGGAATCATGGGGGTAATAAGTATACTGGTAATAAAAGCATTCACGAAAGAATGGTTAATAACAGGAAGCATCATCATAGCAGTAAATGTACTGAAGGTGGATCATAGCATGGGACACTTACAGGGTAGGTGGGACCACGAGCCCGCCAACAAGGTCGCCGGAGCCTTGCAATCAAACAACAAGCAGACTATATCTACCGTATCCTAAACCCTATAGCCCTATCCTTCGTTCCTGGTGTTGGGCATTTGATGGCGGCGAACGGCGAAGCTCTTACTGGGCCATAGGCAGGATTTGCAGTCCTGGGCAGAGACCTCCACAGCCCTTGATCAGAGCACTAGGATCTAGGATTTAGGATTTAGGGTTTAGGGTTTAAAGGGTCGATGTAAGTGTATGGTATATATTGTGGGCCCACAGGGGTTCCCATATACCTCCCTTGGGTCCCAGGTATCTACCAGATAGGTATATTGACCCTTTGGGCTAGGGTTTAGGGTTTAGGGTCCTGAAATTGGCTTGCATATCTTACAAGTCCAACAAGCAGCAACATTTTTGGGGGGATGGTTCTTGGGCAGATTTATGAATTTCCTGAGCCAAACAAAGGCTTTGGAATATGAATTAAGGAGGATGCTCGGAAACATCAGGTAGTCTGAGGGCTATTGCTTAAAGAAGAACGAGCTCAACCATTAACCCTAAGCAGAAGTTTCCCAAAATAGGGGGACCCCAATATAGACCCCAAAATACCTACAGTCTTTATAATAGGGCCGCCCCAAAAAAGTACCCCTGATTGCGGGAAATTACCAAACCAACATGGTTGGTTCATAAGCAGCTATGAATGCATGGAATCCCGATTCCCTGTATTAAAGACCCCACGCTCCCCCTATTCAAAAACATTCATGACATATTACAGTATGTCATGATGGAATATTGAATTTTGCGGAGTGGAGGTGTCATATATGAGGGGGAGGGGATAGTAATCCGAATACATCCCTTTGAAGTCACGATACCCCCGCAAAGTCGCAATTATCCCTTCAAAGGCCTCCCCGGAAATCCTTAAACCCCCAAACCCCCTAAACATTAGCTCCCAACAGTCCCTGAATTCCCTAAATTTCCAAAACCTCTCCTAAACCAAACCCCCAAAAAACACTTAAACATATGAGTGGCGGCCAAGGCATCAGGGTTGCCATCTGGTCCAAGCCCTTGTATTATGAATTCTCATACGAACCACCCCAACCAGGTAACTAGGTCTCCCCCTTAACAAAAAGCAGCGTTCAGCAAGGCTAACTGAGGGGTAACCGCCCTTAACAAGAAGCAGGAGCAACGAGAATAAGTCAGGGGAAAAGTGGGGGAGGTAGTAAAGAGGGCCCTAACCCCCTAATCTCTAAACCCCTAACCCTAAACCCGTAAACCCCTAGACCCCTAAACCCCTAAACCCTAGACCCCTAAACCCTAAACCGGTTAGGCATCCCATACTTGCAAGTGGAATGAAGTGGTGAACAATTGCTCCAAAGGATGATAAGAACTGACCAAGGTTTAGGGGGCTTAGGGATTAGGGTTTTAGGGGTTTAGTGGTTTAGGAGTTTGGGGGTTTAGGGTTTTAAGGGTTTAGTGGTTTAGGAGTTTAGGGGTTTAGGGTTTTAGGGTTTTAGTGGTTTAGGGTTAAGGGTTTAGGGTTAAGGGGGTTCCCAAAAAACAAGGATCCTTTCCTGCGGGCGCCCAAAGTCAGGATTACAGTGTTTGGGGTCTACTGCGCGGGTCTCCCCATTTATGGAAATTATCACAAGTACTGCATACTTTCGTGAGAACTATGGTATTCTTGGTTGCCGAATGCATGCAGAACTATTAGATGATTAGATGACTGGGTGGGCTGCTAAAGACTACACCTTATACCTCCAAGTCCTAAACCCGGAACCCTAAACCCCAAACCTCATGCCTGACCTCAGTTTCCTAAACCCTGAACCCTATCATCCTATCAAGTCGCTGACTTTTTGCGACTGGTGATTCATATCTTTGCCTCGCAATGCTCTCCGATAACTTGCCTAGCCACTAGGGTCATGGGGGTTGATTTTGGGTTTGTACACGGACTATACTATAGGGATCCATGCCTCCATTCCGAACTAAGCCCCACCTCAAGTTAGAGCATGCGCTTGTGCAGATACAGCTGATTGCAGATAGCTGTGGCAGAACTATCAGCTGTGCGTGTGGCCTAACGCACGTAAGACAATCTTGCTTGGCGCATTTTGGGTGTATGCTGTTCTGGCTTGGCTCAAAGCAATACTCATTTGGCCATGGTGCCAGGCATGCGACACTCACTGGTCTGGGTGGCGCTAAGTGCCCTATGCATCTGCAAAGTCCTATGTTATAATAACAACTACTACGGTGACGGCTCCGGCTCCTCCGAGTACCAGGCCTGGGACGGCGACGGTGACAGCTACGGCTCAGGTGATGGCCAGCAAGGAGACGGCAGCTATGGGGATGGGTCCCAGGCTTCCACAAACTCAGGCGATGGGGATGGTTCCTGGGGCAGTGCTGCGTCGTGGAATGGGGGAGATGCGGGTGACCAAGGTGGCGACCAAGGTGGCGACCAAGGTGGCGACCAAGGTGGCGACCAAGGTGGCGACCAAGGCGGCGACCAGGGAGGCGACCAAGGCGGTGACCAGGGGGGTGATCAGGAGAGCGACCAGGGTGGCAGTAGTGTGGGCAGTAGTGTGAGCAGCAGCGCGGGCAGCAGCGCAGGCAGCAGCGCGGGGAAAAGCGCAGGCAGCAGTGCGGGCAGCAGCTCACATGAGAGCATGGGCAGCACAGCTAAAGAGCAGAAATCTAAACCCACAACAACCGCAGCTCCCACCCCAGCAACTCAGCAACCTGGGGTCATCCCACCTCCGCCTTCTACCACCAGCCCCGAGCCAACGAAACCTGGCGACTGGATCAATGTTAGGGATCCTTTATACTTTTTGGGGTATGGGATTCCTTGTATTTATGTAAAAAGGATCCTTTTTTCTTCCTAGGGTAATGTGGGCTAAGGCGAGACAACTACATTCAATTCCGTACATGGTGAGACGACCCACAGGATCGGAGGCCTGGTCATGCGTTTGGGTGCCTGCAGGAGTTATGGGTAGTTCAAGATATCATAGCCTTGATTCTAGCGGCGACTCCAAAAGGTCCCTGTATTTTTTCAGACTTTCGCGTATCGTTGCATCCCCTTTTGTTGGTTTATCACGCCCGAAAAGGAGATCCAGAAGAGCTTGGTTAGTACATCGGGGATCGGGGAGACTTGAAAAGTGGACTTGTATCTCCACAAGCCTATGAGTCACCCACATCATGCCCATTATGAACTTTCCTTATTGGGTCATTCTACCTTGCCAACCTAGTAGTAGGAGGTATACCTAATTGCCCCTTAGTAAGACCCTTTAGGCAGAAGAGCTGCTGACCTACTTACTAAGATCCATTTTGGTCTGACTGTGGAAATCCCATCAATGTTTCAGTTTCAGGACCTTCCCATCTTACATCCCTACGAAAACCCTGTGAAGTTCTCACCAAAGCTGCAGCCCCAAAGCCTATCCTCCCCAACGTAACATGGAGCCCCTACAGGTTCCATGTGGGTGGTTGTCAAAATTATGGTCCCTTTTTGGATCCCTATCATAATACTAATACGGCACCTAATATTTAGCGTACTCAAAAAGGGACCATAATTTTGACAACCACCCATGTGATTGTGGAATAGGGTTCAGGGTATAGGATTAGGGTTAGGGTCCCTGAGACCCAAACCCGCTGTTTCCTGCCCACAGGCTTGAAGAGTCTCTACGAGGTAAGGAAGGAGTTGCAGGCCAGCCTTGCCAAATAGGGTTTAGGGTTTAGGGTTTGGAAGTATGAGCCCCTAAGATGGGCCCTTGGGCCTTTATAAGGGGATTCTAGGACCCTTTAGTTCTAAGGGCACATGTAGGGTATATAGTGGGTATATAAGGCTCCCAGGGTCCATGCTAGGGGTCTGTGGTTCCAACCTTAGATGACAGAATTGTGGAGTGATTGCCTGGTGCTTCCACAGGGAGGTTATGGGAGTTTCCCGAAAAAGGGAGCTCCAATACAAACGTACTGTGTTTATATCCGTATTACAGGGGCGTCCAAAAAGGGGTCGCAAATTTTGGTTGCCCTGATATGGGAGTTTTTGTGTGGAGCAGTCTGTCAGTGCCTTCAAACAGGGACTCCCAAAACCCCATAGTTGCGAGGGAACACGAGATACAGGTTTCTACATAATGGTTGTTGGTGAAACTACTTACTAAGTCCCGCTGATCCCCGCCCTTAATCTTGAGCTCCTTACAAACGAAGTATGTGGTCGGGAAAGCCTTACACGCCCAATCAACTACGGGCCAACGGTTGGACCTTTGGCTTTTTCATCCTCAACTGCAGGCTACGTTTCTTGATCCTCTGCCAAGAAACCCCGGGCCCCAAGTCTTGTATGGTCTGCTAACAGGGCCGCCCCTTGTAAGATGAAGCCCCCAGGATTCCCTAACCCTGACAACCACGATGTATCCATCCATGTGCCCCTCGCTTGGGTTGCAGTTAAGCAACTCACACTTAGGTATCATAGACAGGAAACTGTATTGCGCAGTATCCCTAAACCCTAAACCCAAAGCCCTAAACCCTAAACCTCTATGGGTAGGAGTTACTGTCAATACTAGCCTTATTAAGGGACCTTTAAGGGTGGACACAAGAGCTCCTTTGGTAGTTTCGTCTTGTCCCTAATATAGTCCCTAAGCTGGAACCCATGTGCATTAAAGTGTGTAGGAATAATCCTAAACCCTAAACTCCAGCAGCAACCCAGATGTTTGAGGTGTAGAAGTGTCATCTCTTGGGTGGTGCCCCATCTTCACAGCAAGTATGTACAGCAAAGGCCGCCAGACAGGCAATCCTTCAATCCAGATGCTGGTAGATCTCGACCTCTAAGTCACGAAGCCTCAATCCCACAGCTAGTTCCTAAACCCTCAAACCCTAAACCGCCTGCCTAAATGAATCCTATAGATCCTGTAGACGCTCTCTGCCTGAATGACTCCTACTTCCCCCACCATGGAGGGGAAGCACATGCAGCCCAACCTGCGAACAAAACCTTGGCGAGATGCGGAGGCCTCCCTCTGCCTTGAGGGTTTGGGGCCCCCTTCTGCCTTAAGGGTTTGGGGGTCCGGGTTTCAGGGTACAAAGCTTCGGGAAGTTTGGGTTGACAAGGCTTGCCTGGAACCCCGAACTTATGTAGAATGATGTGGTTTCTGTGATTGTTGTTAAACGGTTTTGGGTCTATCGTTCTCGTAGTTTACCTCCTTTTGAGAACCAGGTAAGGGGTTGTTAGGGTCATCAGCCTAGGACCGATTTTGGTGTTGGGCCGAAGTGCGAGGTTCAGTCATGCGTGTTTACAGCTGTTGTGTGTATGTTGTCTTGTTGAGTGTTTCTGTGTCGCTTTTGTACGGTTCAGGATTTTTACCATGAATCCTGTCTTTCAACATGGCCCCAAAAACAGTTCCATCAGTAACAGCATGACAAGCTGCAGACTTTCTGTAATCAGAAATACAAGAACTTGGCCCCTTCCGAAAGAAACACACCGAATTCGGAGAGAGCGCCAGTCGTTGGGCTTCTCTTACTATACTGCCTTATTACTATGCTACTCTTTTCGTATACTGAACATATTATATACATATTACTATAGTAGATATGCTGCACTATCGGTATTGCTCTGTGTTTCGAGTTTCCATGGGCTGGGTTCATGGACTGGGGAGCCACAAAGTCAAGCGCTTTCTGTGTTCAGGGTTGGGCTTCACTGGTTAGCGGCTAAGGAATTGAAATGCAGTTACCATAATGTGAGTTTGCAGTACATAATTTGGTTTCCTTAAGCCCTAAGCCCTAAACCCTTAACCTCACTTAGGCTCTTTAGCCTCAACCCTGTTTAGGGTTCGAGGCTGTTGGGGATCGGCCCATTTGAGGGCGTCACCAAGGTTGTGGTTTATGGGTTTTAGGGGTTTAGGGTTTAGGGGTTTAGGGGTTTAGGGGTTTAGGGTTTTAGGGTTTTAGGGGTTTAGGGTTTAAGGGTATAGGCTTTAGGAGCGTTATGGTGTTTATCAACGGATTTTGCGGTTTTCATTTAGGTAGACCAAAAACCATTCAGACTAGAAAGCTTGAGCCATAGAACCCCAAGGACCTTCGGGGATAGGGAGTCGGAGTAAAACGCATGTTTTCAAGGGTACCAGGACGGCAGTGGAGCAAGTCATGGTAAACCCACCGCAGCAACTATGTGAGCTATAGTCTTAACTCCTTGAAGGGTGTGTATTATACGGGTTATTAACTGGGATACTATGAGTTTAGACTACGGCTAATGTGAGTGGAAGCGGCAGCATGGATGCAATATTACTGCTATCCAATACTATGATTGGTACTGTTATTCTTATAGTCATTGCTAGTCATTGCTATTGCTACGAGTATTATTGCTAGCATTATTCTTATCATTATTATTCCTGCTTATAGACGACCAAAACAAGGCAGTAGAAGCAATATTGGTTTGCAGTAGTACTGAACCTTACATCCTAAACGGAGGCCTTATAGTAGCAATAAAACCTTAAACCCTAAACTACGAGGTTGCTTAGCTACTCTGGGTGTTGCGACTAGAGGTGCGAAGTATGCCTTTGACTGATTCCACAGGGAAGGTACGCGGCGTACTCCCTGCCCCCTGCTTACAATCCCACCCCACCCTACCGACAGTTCCTCAATATAATTGCAGAATGCAAGGGGGAACTTTTTGCGCTGGGTTTGCGTAGCTATGAAGGGGAGAACAGCATTGCAACCGGGCCACTGCACGTCAGTCTTTAACACAATGGTCCTAGTACTGTAGTTGAAACAGGATGGTCAAGGCGGACGCTGCATGCGTTTACAGGGAATGCGTGCGCGAAGGAGATTCTTCTGAGAAGCTTTACCCACGACCAACCGCATTATTGGGCGTTTCTCAACATAATCCGCAATTTAGAACCCTGTAATCCTCCTAGCAACTTGTTCCACCCAGCTCAACTGACCTACTTGCTTTGCTCCTAGCTACACAAGGTTCAGGTCTCCGGGTTGAGCTGGAACCTGGTTCAATTTAGTGTTTAGGGTTGTAGGGGTTCTGCCAAGACCCTCCAACCGCCCTCTAGTATGGCCTAGATACGCACCAGCAAAAGGTTCCTGGAGGGTCTACATCCAACAGCCCGGACCAAAGCAGTTTTCTTCATAAGTTCATAAGTCCTACACTACATCCCGAAAATCCCTAAACCCTGAACCCTAAATGGTTCTGTTTGATGGATGAGCCAGACCCCCTGCCAAGCTAAGACCTGTCTGCTGCCCACGAGGAAGTTGTTCATGCATGGGGGCCCCTCGTGCCCTCGGTAAAGGAAGTCTTCTAGCTATGATGAGGTTCTAACTTATAAGCTATCATCCCTCAACACTTTCGATTCTCAACCCTAAGCCCTAAAGCCCGACAGAATGCATTGTTTTTCTTTTTTGACATGGCTGCTTCGGGCTCTGTTCCTTTTACAGGGCACACACCTTTGCACTTGATTTTTGGAAGCTCACGTGTCCTGCAGGATCATAATCATCCGTGTATATATATATATGTGTCCCTAAGCCCAAAACCCTAAACCCCTAAAGGAAGCAAATGGAGAAAACCCAACAGCTTTAAGATGGAGAGGTGGCGGAGGGGCACTGCAAGTCGCGCTTCCAAGTCCGAGAGGAGCCAGCGGTTTCGTTGGAATCTTCCGCGTTTCTTAACGGGTTGCTGTAGGGGACTAAATAGGGAGAATAAGGAGCGTGTGTGCGTGGGGGATGTAGTCTTCTGTAGTTCTACAAGAGTTATAAAGTGAAGGATTAATTTTGGCACTTATTCAGGGTTGTGCTGATATTCTTCGCAAAGTCTGTGGGACAAGACATGACATCAATGCCTTGGCTCGCCAGGTTGTTGTAGGCTAGACTCCTCAATCCTCATCCAAACCCCTGATTCATAAACCCCAGCTCCTTAATAGGGATTATAATAGGGATCCTAATATTGAGGCCCTCAAAAGGAGGGGGTTCCTTAATCAGGGGTCTACATTAATCCCTACCTCGTGTGAGTTCTGAGAACCCTTGGCCTCCTTCTGCAGGGCTACACAAGGATCTACAGACGGAGATTCTAGCACTACTACAAAATTTGGAAGTTCTCTGGGGGCCTCAAGTTACATGGGATTTGCACAGGGAAGATAGGGAATCCTTAGCGTCAAATGGGGTGATTTTGAGGAACTCCCGGCTCGAAGTTTAAGGAAATAGTTTGTCATTCCCCTTCCAGTAGCTGTCCTTAAAGGGGTCTTTTTAAGGGGCCAGTGTATCCCTTATTAATTTCTGTAGTTTCGTCGGTTTACTGCAGGGGGAAAACATGAAGGATATAAGATTCCTGTTGGAGGCCGCTGGCATTAGTGTTTAGGGCTAGACGTAAACCCTAAACCCCTATTATTGTTTTAGCCTCAACGAGATAAGGATAGCGAAGAGCATTTTCAAATGGCATCTCTGGGATGTGTTCTCCACTGTGAACTGGATCCACAGCAACGTAGGTGTACTTTGTACTGGGGTCACCAGTGTTAGCTTTCTGGGGACCACAGAAGCGAAACCCTTCGCTGAGCCATGGTTCAAGCTTCGTCATCATTCATCGATGTAGGTACAAACGCAGTTTATAACCAGATAACATCTCGTAGCATCTGAACCGTTTCTGATGATTAGCTAAGAGCGATGCTGGATGCTATGCCTACTTAGTCTACCACTTTTTGCTTCGGGCCTTCCAGTATGCAGCCGTGCTCATCACAAGCGTATCTGAAGTCAGGATACTTGTTAATTTTAACGCTGAATATGCAGGTCTCTCAAAGAAGCGGACCCAAGACGTAGGGATTGCACATTGATAAGTTTCAGAAATTCCCATATCTCAAGCCTTAAGCCCTCAGACCCCTTTGCCTCGTTCTTATTCAGGATCCACCGGAGTTGTCCACGGACCTAAATGGCGTGGAACTGCCAGAGACTTGCTTCTACGATGACTCGCCGCTTGCGACCGCTTGGGGGGGGAGCAGTTGGGTGGGTCGGGTTGGGTATGAAAAAGCATAAGGTAGGGTGGGGTAGGCTAGGGGAGGTGAAGGGTATGGTAGTTTGGGGTTGGTGTTTTGGGAGAGGAGTTGGACAGGGAAGTGATCACCGGAAAGTCAAAGTTCCACTGGGAAGTGCGGCGATCGAAAAGTCGTCTTGGCATGTGGGATTAGGATGTGTGTATATAGAAAAAGCATATACATGATACATCTATATTATAAGTGTTTATGTATATGTGGGATTTTTGTGTTCTCTAGGAACTCGAAGCCCTAAGTGTTTCTATGTAACCCCTACACTCCCCTCCGCCTACTATTCACCCCCCGCCCGGTTATAGTATACCGCAAATGGGAATATGGATGTTAATAGGGGTGCGGGGGTTTAATATTAGTGAGAGGAGATTATAATCCTTATGCCTGCTTTAAAGCAACCTTACATGGCTGCAGATGCACCAATACTGCAAAGAATGTCACGACAATCTATGAAACCCTGTATGACGTAGGGTTTAGGGATGGCGGATGAGGGTTTATGGGTTTATTGGCAAGAGTTTTTTGGGTTTTCCTTGGTGACCCTAAACCCTAAACCCACCAATGGTGACTGTAGTACCCTAACCCTAAAACCCCAGATGCAAGAGTGGTGTTGTGTCCAACCCTAGGGCTGGTCTCACTATTGCTGTTAGTAGTACTAAGATTGTTCTTATCATTAGTAGTAGTAGTAGTAGTAGTAGTAATAGTAGTAGTATCTATATGATTCTTGTTACTATTGCTATTACCATTATTAGCATCATTAAGCATCATTATCACCATTTTTATTTCTATTATTCATATTTCTGAGTTCCAGACCTCAGACTGCCAAGGAAAGGCCCTCACCACATCTTTGTTATCGGTGACTGGGGTGGCGTCATCGACTGGTACGATTCAAATAGCCACTTTGTAAAGTCCCCGAAGACGGCGGACCACACCAGGAAGGCGCAGGGATCCATCTTACTGGGAGTGGAAAAGAAATGGGGGTTTCCCAAAATTAGGGGTACCCTTTTAAGATCTTTTAAGGGTACCTATAATAAAGGATTATAGTATTTTGTAGTCTATGTTGGGGTCCCCTATTTAGGGAAATTACCAAATCGAAGCCTCTACATTCTTTGGGGTTCTGGAAGGCATCAAACGGGTCTCATAGGGTTTACTATACAAGAATCCATGCTGCCATACTTCCTTAAGGACCAGTAAGCCAAATGCGGTTTGGCGGTTGGGTGCAATTGGCTTCAGGAAGTCACGGGGCTCAAAACGTGGGATGAAGGTAGGTAGGTTAAAAGATCCCCAATCTATACTCTTCTTTCTTGAGGCTTATTTCCAATACCCCACCTTCCTTCATCCCACCTTTTGAGCCGCCCTTTGAGGAAGGTGCATCCCTACTAAGGGGAGGGGGTTTATTAATCAGCGGTCTACATTACCTCCAGTGTTTTCTAGAATTTAGGATGCGTTCATCAGCCGTAGCGACGGCCATGCAGTTCTTCAAGCCACAAGCGTCCAATGGAATCGTAAGGGTTTAAGGTTTAGGGTTTGTGGCTGTTGCTTTCTCTGCCAGACTAAACTTTATTTGAGGGTCCCCAACAACAGCGGGTCTCCAAATGGTCCCCAATATGCTCTAATCCTGAATACAGATACCCATCAAAAGGCATCACCCCAATTCTTGCAGCCCCATATAATGCAATCCTTATTTTGGGGACCCCCAACAAGGAACCCCTACTTGTGGAAGCTCCCCATATACCATACACCGGATCCCAATCCCTAAACCCTAAACCCTTAAACTCTAAAACCCACCAAAACCCTAAACCCTAACCCCTAAACTCTAACCCTAAAGCCTAAACCCCAAACCCTGGAACCCTACAACCTTAGCCGGGAGGTCTTTGCATCCCACCATCGGGACAAGGTCAACAGCTCTGACACCTGGGCTCAGTTCAATGTCAGTAGGCAGGTCCTGGGAGCCTCAAAGGGTTTGGGTTTTGGGGGTTAGGGGTTTAGAGTTTAGGGTTTGGGGTTCAGGGTTAGGGTTCAGGGTTAGGGTTCGGGCTTTAGGGTTTAGGGGTTTGGGCCTAGGGTTTATTGCTTTGTCAGTGTAAGCTCCTTAGAGGGAGGTTATAGGGGGAATTCTTTAGGGGAGCAGTATAGGGGTTGCTGAAGGGGGTACTAGGAGTGTAGACTATAGCTCATGTAGGTCTGGGGTATATACTGATGGTTCCAAGGAGTTCCTCTATACCTTCTTTGGCTCCCAGGTATCTACTATACGGGTACATGGGCGCTTTGGGTACTATATGTTAGGAGGAAAGACCGACCCTGTAATAGTGGTATAAGAGGAATCTATAAGAGGACCCTAATATAATCCTTATGCTCCATTCTAGTCATTTTTGACCCCAAACCTTAAATTCTAAAACCCTAAACCCTATATGGTCCCTATATAGTCCCCATATAATCCCTAATATCCCGTATAGTCACTATTATTGGGAATATCCCGTATAGTCACTATTATTGGGTGGGG